TCTCGAAGCTATTTTGGAAATTTAGCAGATTAAATGCATTAGTACGGAACATATAATTTGTAATCGACTTTAATAGACATCAGAATTCATAATAATACAGTCTGTGTTACTATAGTTATGTTATTCTATAAGATTCGTATAATTATACGACAAACTTTCTTCTGTGCAAAAGAACGAATGATGTCATCATAGTCAATTGACTACATTATTTCTGACCCTATACACATTACATAGAGTGAATTGAGTCTGTTCTCTCCTATATTAGATCTTAAGTAATTCTTTACCCTCTTTTAACGCTGAAAATGATTTTTCTGCTAAGTTTGACGCTGGTGTATACAACAACATTCGGAGTGCAATTTCTAAGTTTGGATAAATGTCAAAAAAGCCTTGTTCCGATAAGTATTTGTATAGCTTCAGTGACGATAACTCCATAACTTCATCATTCGATGACAAATGAGCTTGCAGGTGCAGACACACGTTTTCCAAAGTCCTATCCAAATTCCCCGGGTAAAAAGTTGTGAGGTTTCTGGCTCTTTCACAGATGTATTTAGATTTCAAACGATGTAGTTTTGTAAGAAAGTCGAATTTTTTACTTAACTTCTCATAAGCAGATCCGTGTCTCCATAGCTCTGTAATTAGTCTATCTATAATGACGTTAAAAATGGTAACTCTGAATCTATCCCTGCCAGAGAGTTTGGGTCTTGCTTCCTTTTACTTCGTTGAACTGACTTTAAGCTTATGTTTTCTCTGCATGTCATATGCATAGCTATTTTCACCAATTTTTCAATAACTTTTGACTCATAATGATCAAAGGTACTGGGTTTCCTTAAGTATCTTAAGTATGTTACCAAAGACTGATGCAGTTCAACGATCACACCCAGGTCGATGTTAACAGATTGCAGAGATCTGTTTACTGTATTGATCCTTTCCAAGATGTCATTCCAGAGAAGTGACAAAAAGCAAGTTTCCATTGAGTCTAATGAATTCAGAAAACCTGAAGCCTTAGAGCATGTAGATGGTTTTTCATTTGCATTATTGGTGATTATCTGAAGAGCTGCCATGATCTCAGACTTGGTAGGCGTCAGCTCAAGCAGACCATCTTGTCTGAAAGACTCTTCCGACTGTTGAATTTGACTTAAGTTTCAACAGCAAAATTTCCCATCTGTGTGTTGATGCCAATATATATATATATATATATATACGATGACTGCAAAGTACTGAAGAAAGATACAGCAGCTTGACAAGACTTAGCCTCACAGGATCCAACAAAATTGAGTGAACCAAACAGGGAATGAAATCTATCAGAGGGTTCACTTGTTTTACTCTCGCTTGAAGACCAGAATATACACCCAACATATTGCTAGCATTGTCGTAAGACTGCTCCCTGGCAATTGGCAATATCCAAGTCATGATTTTTCAATGTCTCTAGGACGACTTAAGCCAGGTCTTCTGCTTTATGGCCACAATTTGGAATGAATTTCAAAAATCGTTCAACAAGATATCTGTCTTAAGAGACATATCTCACTATGAAAGAAAGTTGATCTGGAGTAAAGTCCACACAGATAAGAGAAATATTTGGCATGTATCTTAGTCACAATTGTATTTATTACCTTTTCTGCCATGATATTGATCATTTCATTGCATATTTTGTACGAAAGATATAATGTGCATAAGGTATAATTCCTTTCTTACTGTGGCATTTTCGTGCAAGTCCAGAAAACGATCGAACTCAGCCAAAAGTTTTAGGGTCATAACATAGTTCCCACGGTTTTTTGATCCAAATCTCTCTTGGAAACCTCTAAACAGCAATCCACATGCAGAAAGTGACCTTACAACAGACACAATACGCCTCAAAACCTCATGCCAGTATTTTATTTCTTCTTCCATATGAAGAACAAAATTCTTGTCAACTCTACCAGCAATCTTCCTAGCTAATAGTGTCGCAAGTGCTGACCTGTGTTCGTCCAAATTCTCATGTTCCTTCATTCTTTGAACTACGTTTTTCCAGTTGTTGTACCCTTCGTTAGCTAGTGACCCCAATTTCCCAAACATCTTACAAGGGGCGCAAAAGACTGCACCCTTGCTCTTCGAAAATAGGAGCCAAAGTCGAGGTCGTGTTTCACAATTGCTTTAATCTTTGGCTAAAAAGTGACAGCAATAGATACCTGGTTTTATCTGCGTACTGATACCTTGAAGAAGAAAAGTCGGCATCAATATTTTGTTTCACGCCATTTTGAACAAGGTACTCCAATGTAACTTCGTCCAGCATCCATTCAGCAGGATCTTCACTTAAAGAAGAATTAGATTCAGGATTTTCTAAAGAATCGTTTTTCATAGCTGTTATGGGGTTTTCAGAAATAATGTTTTCAGGTAGCTCATTGTATTAAAAAATGTTTGTTGGAGTTGCCTGTTGATGGTTATCAGCAGCATCACTGCAACTGCCACTGGCTAATGCACTAGTATTACTAGTATTAGGACTAGAGCCAGATCTAGGTCTAGACATAGACGAGACAAAAAATGTGTTTAACTTAGGAACATTACGAAGAAGCTCTTTTTCTTTATTCCATTTTCTTTTCTCGAACTCTTTTAGTTTTTTTTTTTAATTGAAGTCAGACATCGCAACATCGGAAATTTCTATAAAGAATATAAAAGGAGAGGGTCATTAAGCAATAGGAACCGCTTGTTCATTGTTGGGTTATATGCAAGCTGCGAGTGAGATGAACGACCGTATCTCAACACAAGAAGACTGGAGACAGGAAAGTAAACTTGTGTGGAGGGGTAGGCTAAAAAATTACAGTACTAAGTAGTTGGATCTCGCATATGCGTACACTGCGCAGTGGAACGAAATTTGCTTTCTGCACAATGTTTGAAGCTTAACAGTTGCCACAGAACACTTCTTACAAGAGAGAGGGAAAATGAAAAAGCCTAGCTTTGTTGCACACAGGGCTGTAAGTTATGAGTTCCCTGTTTTGGCAAAATGTAGTAAAAATATTTATTATAATATTATTTTCGATAAAGCTTTTTAATAATGCAAGCCAGGCTTTTGAGCTTATGTTAAAATTCCGCCATCAGGGCCCCGAGGCTGGGACCTTGTAGGCCTAGGCAGAAATCTAGCACTGGTGGTATCATGTGGCCTGAAGTAAGCATGAAAATCAAATATGTTGTATGTCATAAATATCGCAAAAAATATTATTTCTTTCCAAATTGATTGTAAGTTAAAATATTGTAACCCTTTTAAAGGGAAAATTAGTTATTGAATCAATATCATGCTGACAACATTGTAGTTGAAACAGTCTGAAAAATGAAAATCTGGTGATCAAGTTTGGCAACTCATTTTTTTTTTGATTTTTGACATGGTGATCACTTTTACAAGGCCATACCAAACTCTTAATTCTTTAAAATAATAAAGGTATGAGTACAAAATTTGTATGCAATGTTATACTTCTAAAAGTTCCAATACCTCTGCTTAAAATACATCTATTGAGATAGTCTTCTCATATATAATGCAGCTCATAATCTTTACTTGATTCAATGAATTGAAAGAAATGTTGAATTAACCTTTCTCATAACATCTCAAAAGATAAAAACTGTTGGTGTCAACACTTTGGTCATAGGGACAATAATCTGATTAAGCAATCAAAATTATTAAATATTATTTAAATATAAATTATCTCCTAAATAGAGAACTTGCCTTAGGAATTATACTAAATAATTGCAAACATAGTACATGTATTCAATGCTTAAAGTATACTAACTGATTGTATAGAATCAAAGTTTAGCGCTTCCAAACTACTTGAGTATATTTACTTTGTCATTTTAAGACCAATGCAGACTCAATTCCTTAGTGATTTTCCATATTTCAAAACATTCATTGATGATTTCATAGATTTAAATTGATATGTTTAATCAAAAGGAAAACAATGAAATGATTTCAAAACTAAAGTAGTTTATTGTTCTCATAAAAAAATAAAAATACTAAGGGATAACTTGGGAAACACATCAATAAAGAATTTAACTCTTTCGCATTGAGAGAGGGCAAATTCTCTTTTCCCCAAACATCGAAAATGCCTGTGTCTACAAATTTCTCCTGGAATTCTTTTCGTTCCCCATGACAAACTGAATACTGCAGCACTAACAATAAATAACCTACTTAAATAAAGCGAGAACTTGGACACTTTCACCTTGTGTGAAGCTACCCCACGGGACGGAATTGCAACCTTGGGTATCAAAAGCTAAACATTGACACTAAACAAAGGAGAAAGAAGGTGTATTAAAACAACACAACAGAACTACTTTTAATCGCTTCAAAAGAATGATTGACATGTCATTTAACAACACCTGAAAGCAATAAGCAATGCAGTAATGTGATGGGGGAAAGCACTAAGTATAAAATTATTAAGGAGCTTAGGGCGTCCAGCTGATGTCTGAATGCTCAGGCGTTTGGGGTGACTTCGATGTGGAAGAGTTAAAGCATATCTTGCAAAATATGGGATAAGTGATCATTTAACTGTACTGCATTGTCCAGCATAATATAGAGTTGGTGAATGCAGAAGCATTTTCATCGTGAATAGTAATCATTTCATTATTTGATACCATTTAATGTTATACGAGATTTTCAGGAATGTACAATTTTGTGTTTTTGTAAGAAGGGTGCAAACCTGTGCATGTTGCTGTTAAATAAAGATTAATATTTATTTAGAAAAGTGCTTAAAAACATTGGTAGTAAAATTTATTGATAGAAGCTTTGGTTTAGAATTAATATATATTAATTTTTAAATGCAGCTTGAATATGCTTCTAAAAATAATAGTACTCTATGAAATATTTATATAAAGTTTAAGTCTTTTATGTGGTGATACATGATTTATAATTTTTTTTTGTAGTTACCAATTTATATAATTAAATACATATTTCATCTGACATCACGTACATAAAATTTTTTGAAGTTAAGTAAAAGTATGATTATTATAATATTTTTATCAAAGTGCTTCTTATTTTTCAGGATTTCTTTAATTATCAGTCTGTGGCACAGAAAAGTTCAGGCAATATTAGTAAAGTTAAAACCAATAAAGAAGTGGCCAAAAGTCTGGATGGTTCAAATTCTTTGATCTATCCTTTGCAGGTATGAACTGCCACAAATTTCTGCTATTTAGGCAATCTTAATAATATAATAATTGTGTTACACAATAATATTTTTGACACTTTTCCGTTAACCCCTTCGAGCCGGGTAGCGAAAACGCGCGCTTATCGTGGAGGCCGGCAGTGTCTTCCGCGAGCGTCTCTCCAGGGCCGGGGGCTTTTTTGCTACTAAGCCTAAATCCATGAAATTTCCGAAGTATCAACGCATTGTTTAATAATGCTCTATAGAGTATTTAAACGGCTTATGCTTTATAAATATTTTTATATATATACTTTAATTACCTTATTTCCTGTTTAAATGCATATTTTACACATTTTATTTTAATTACTCACCATTTTATGACTTTTAACATTATACATCTGAAAACTAAATATATTACTTAAAATTCTCTTTTCGTTTGAAAAATTTGAAAACAGGGATCTACACACTGTCCTACGTTACATTCCTTGATCTCGTAATAAATCATTTGCCGTTTTGGAGGATTTTTCCGGGAATGTGAACAAACGAAGCATCGTCGTCTCATTTTCTTATCAGTCTCTTCTGAACAAAGTTTTGGGAAATGTCTTTCAGTTAAAATTTCAGAATCAATATCAGAATATCAGAATTTCAGAATCAATATCTGAAATATTTTGCATCATTTCTGCTATTTCATGCTCTGTTAAACATTTTCGACGCTTCGACATTGCAACGGTAAAAACAGAAATAATTCATGTCTAACAAGATCTAATTATTTTCTAAAAACTGAACTGTAAACCGAAATATTCGACGCTTTAGTGCATATAAAACTTCTACTTACAATAAACAACTACCACGTGCGAATAAAGTGCGATTTAAAGAGACGTCATAAATCACGCCATTTGGAAACATTTAGTTCCCCATTTGTTTATATAATCAAAACACGTGTATGTGAGTCATGCTTCTCTTCATTCGAGTAGAAGTCTAATGTACATGTATCTGAAACCATATGGACATACAGTGCCATCTTGTGGCAGAAATTATAGTTTCTGAAACGTTCCAGGGTACTGGCACAAATACGTGACAGTCGGTAGTAAACGGGAAAATGCTCTGGCACGCCTGCGTGTCGGCCGGTAGGTGAGTGTGTTCGTTGCTGGCACGTAGACGTGACAGTCGGCGCAAAGGGGTTAATGCTGCATATTTTTGGCATATATGGACTCATTTCCCATGCCCTTGGCTCCATTAGATGAAACAGAACAGTTGAGAGTAGCAATAGAGAAACAGTCTCTGATCTTGTGACAAGATCTTCCAAGCTCAGTTTACATATTTATTTTCTTTTTTAACCACTTGCGCTATGACTAAACTTCATGGTTGCAGTGCAGTGCACTACAATATAACAAGCGGTAAAGTGTCTCATTTACGCCGCTTCGCGTCTGCGAGTACATCCGGAGCTGTAACTCAAGAAATAAACAATCTCATTAGGCGACGTGTGCACCACGTTATTTTCATTTTTGCGATAAATGCCTATCGACGTGGTGTTCACGTTGCTCGCGGTTTGAGACAAAAGCATCTCGATGTGCATGGCACTCTTTTTAGCGTAAGTGCTTAAAGCTTTTATCAAGTCCTTCAGTTTTATAATGCCTATCAATTTTAACATTAGGATGAGGTTACCAGAAATTAGCTTGCATCTCTTTCATATAATTATACCAACCAACCATCTGAAACAAACTTTGGTTTGCAAAACTCTGTAGAAGTTAATTTCTAATGTTAAAAGTAAATGAATCTGCAATAATAAAATGCATGCACGACTAATCGTGTGGATCCTTTCCTGTAGCAATGAAGGCTGCGTAGTCACTTTGGCTGTAAATTGCATTTTAATTTTATGAGGTGGTTAATCAAATATGATCTTTCTTTGCAAAGAATATATTTCTTGAAGAAACAGAATAGCTGATTGCTCATGTATTGGCAGATCCCAAGCTGTGAAATCCATCGCAATGAGAAAAAACAGATTAGGCATTTGTTTAGAAAGATAATTATCACTGCTGTAGAAGCCAAATCAAATTGGTGATACTTGACACTGAGGAATATCTTCCCCCCCAAAAAAAAAGAATAAAGTGGTGTAGCATTAATGGATAAGTACCATATATTAATGGAATGCTTTATATAATAATTAGCAGACTGATTCCGAAAAATCAGGAATTTTAGTAATTTCTCATGTGTATGATGTTTATCAGGTACATTTCTTTATTTCAGAGACATCATTTAATTATATAACATTGTTTTAATACCATTAAAATAAAAAGTTCAAAATTTATACAGATGATGGTGTTATATAACATAATGCAAAAGGTTCAAAAGTCTCATTGATTATTTTATAACAAAATATACTAACAGCTATGTGAATAATGAATTATTTGCAATAATTTAAATTACTTGATATTGCAATCTTTAAGAATTTTGATTTCAAATTACCCATCTAAGAGTATGTAATGGAGTTTTCCATTGCTAGTATGTTCCTGCACCAGTGTGAATCATGCGTTGCTCAGCTGTTAGATTTAAAATTTCTGACTTCTGTGGGCTTCAAGATTCTTTTTGGCAGGATTTGGGAGCTGATTTATATGTGTGATATGATATTTATGCTTTATGTGTTATTCAGTGATGTTACCTTTGTTTGTATGTTGGTCAGTGAAAACTTACTGCCATGCGAAGGTTCAGTTTAGATATTAGAAACCAATTGATGTAATGACTGATGGCAGGAACTTTCTAATTTTTTAAGCTGTGCTATACTACCAGAACATTTTTCATCTACATCATTGGGAAACTGTGCCTAAGTTCTCTATTTTTCAAACTTTATTTTAAGTTTTTAACAAGCTGAGCTCTTTGAAAGCAGTAAATGTGTTATTTTCTCTGTTAACATACCTATTTAATATTGTGGTGATGGCGATAAGGAGCGCGCCTTGCGCCCTCCGATAAGTGTGGCAACCCTAGAGGAGAAGTTTTCTTACGAGTAGCGAGCAGAGCGAAACAGGCAGGCTGTCGGGGAGTATGCGCGATGTTCCTAAATAAAGCTTAATTTTTATTGTGCACTATGTCTTGTTAATATTTATATTAATGCAGTACGAACATAATCTGTGATATGGAATTCGAGGATTGGTGGTAAAAACATAACCGGAAATTTCCATAATGGTAACCTGGACTGTGTTAAATCGTATGAACAGTTCTCAAGCACTTTCGGTTTTGACTACAAGCCATCACTCAAGATCTCCAAACCAGAAGTAATGGATTACATCGGTTTTCATCCTCCGAATCACAGATGAGTACTAATTATAGATCATTTTATAATTCTGTTTTCTACTTATCATTTAATTTAATTTTCTTTAGTTAAATTTTTGCTTTTATTTTGGCTTAAAAACCTTGCACAATGTCTGATGTTCATGCCGTCCAAATTCCGGTTTATAACCGATCAGACCCATCTTTATGGTTTATTATGTGTGAAAAGTACCTTTTGCTCTTGCCACCCCCAAACCTATCACAGAATCCATTACTAAATATAATTATGTAGTTGCTCATCTTCCTCCAGATATCGCATCACTAGTACGGGATTTACTTATGAAACCAGACCCTATTGATCCATATGCAAAGCTTAAAACTGAGTTAATAAATCGTTCAGGAGAATCTTCTCAGCAAGAAATTCGCCAATTATTATCTGGAGAGGAATTAGGCTCTCGAAAACCTTCCGATTTGCTTAGAAATATGAAGCGTCGAGCAGAATCTTTAAATGTTCCTGATAACTTAATGTTAGAATTATTCCTTCAACGTTTGCCTTCGACTGTTCAGTCTATTTTAGCAGCGATTTCCAATTTAACTGTAGATAAAGCTGCAGAAATTGCCGACAGAATTTTAGAAGTAAATCCAACCCCAGGGACTTGTGCCGTTTCTCGCACAGTCGATCAGTCTCTTGAGGATAAATTATTTAAACAAATAGAAAAATTAAACAAACGTATTGATCGCATTTCTCTTTCTCGTGGTCGCTCGCCAAATCGCGGAGATCGCAATAAGGAAAGAAGCAATTCCAAAAGGAGAGATTATTCTGTTTGCTGGTATCATAGACGTTTTGGGGAAAAAGTGTAGAGATGACAAATGTACAAAACCTTGTTCATGGCAGGGAAACGAAACCAGCAAAGAATAGAGGCGACTTATTCTTTGCCTCAAGTTTCACGTCGCCTGTTCGTTCGTGACCGTAGAACAAACCTTTCATTCTTGGTCGATACCGGCTCTGACGTGTCCTTACTTCCAGCAAATAATTCTCAAAAACGGAATTCGTCCCAACAAACACTTTTCGCTGCTAATTCTTCTACTATTCATGTTTATGGTCAAAAAACACTTTCTTTGGATTTCAAATTAAGACGACAGTTTACATGGATTTTTCTTATAGCAAATGTTAGTACACCCATTCTTGGAGCAGATTTTCTCCATTTCTTTGAATTGCCTGATCTCAGAAACAAATGTCTCAAAGATTTAAAAACGCATTTTAAAACCGTCGGTTGCGTGAAAAATGCAAGCATTTATTCAGTAAAAACTGTATTTAGTGATACACCATATCACAAAATTTTAAAAGAATTTCCTTCAGTTACTAGATTACCAGATCCTAACCAACCTGTTAAACATAACACCGTTCATTATATCATAACTAAAGGTCCACCTGTGGTTGCAAAACCTCGTCGGTTAGCTCCAGATCGATCGCTTAAAAATAGCAAAACAAGAATTTCAAACTATGATGCAATTGGGGCATTTGAGACCTTCGAGCAGCAATTATGCATCCCCACTTCACATGGTTCCAAAAAAGGGAAGTCTGGAATGGAGACCTGTAGGAGATTATCGAGCATTGAACGCTCAAACAATAAAAGACAAATACCCTATTCCATGTTTAGCCGATTTTACTGCTGCATTGCACGGTACTAAAATTTTTAGTCATGTCGACCTGATTAAGGCATACCATCAAATACCAATTAACCCAGCGACATCCA